TCCAACCTCAAGCTCTACTACAAAGCCACAGTAATCAAGACAATTTGGTATTGGCACAAGAACAGACCCATAGCCCAATGGAACAGACTAGAGAGCCCAGATATACATGCAAGCATATATGGTCAATCAATATATGATAAAGGAGCGATGGATATACAATGGGGAAATGACAGCCTGTTCAAAAACTGGTGTTGGCAAAACTGGACAGCTACATGCAAGAGAATGAAACTGGATTATCGTCCAACCCCATACACAAAAGTAAACTTGAAATGGATCAAAGACCTGAATGTGAGTCATGAAACCATAAAGCTCTCAGAGGACAACATAGGCAAAACTCTCTTGAATATAAATATGAGCAACTTTTTCCTGAATGCACCTTCTCGAGCAAGGGAAACAAAAGCAAAAATGAACTCATGGGAGTACATCAAGCTAAAAACCTTCTCTACAGCAAAGGACACCGACAGCAGAACAAAATGCACCCCACAGTATGGGAGAATATATTTGTAAATGACATATTTGAAAAGGGGTTAACATCCAGAATAACTCTCACACCTCAATACCCAAAAACAAATAACACAATTAAAAAATGGGCAAAGGATATGAACAGACAATTCTCCAAAGAAGAAATTCAGATGACCAACAGGCACATGAAAAGATGCTCCACATTGCTAATTATCAGGGAAATGCAAATTAAAACCACAATGATATATCACCTCACACCAGTTAGGATGGCCAACACAGAAAACACTAGGAACAACAAATGATGGCAAGGATGCAGAGAAAGGGGAACCCTCCTACACTGTTGGTGGGATTGTAAACTAGTTCTACCATTATGGAAAGCAATATGGAGGTTCCTCAAAAACTAAAAATAGAAATATCATTTGAACCAGGAATTCCACTCCTAGGAATCTACCCTAAGAATGCAGGAGCCCAGTTTCAAAAAGACAGATGCACCCATATATTTATTGCAGCACTATTTACAACAGCCAAGAAATGGAAGCAACCTAAGTGTCCATCAGTAGATGAATGGATAAAGAAGAGGTGGTACATATACACAATGAGATACTATTCAGCCATAAGAAAGAAACAAATCCTACCATTTGCAACAATATCAATAGAACTGGAGGATATTATGCTCAGTGAAATAAGCCAGGTAGAAAACAACAAGTGCCAAATCATTTCCCTCATTTGTGGAGTATAACAACGAAGCAATACTGAAGGAAGAAAACAGCAGCAGACTCACAAACTCCAAGAAGGGACTAGAGTTTACCAAAGGGAGGGGTGGGGAAGGGTAGGTTGTGAGGGAGGGAGAAGGGGATTGAGGGGTATTATGCTTACTACACATGGTGTGGGGTGTATCATGGGGAAGAGAGTGCAGCACATAGAAGACAAGTAGTGACTGTGGCATCTCACTACACTGATGGACAGTGACTGCAATGGGGTATGTGTGGTGCTCGATAATATGGGTGAATGTAGTAACCACTTTGTTTTTCATGTGAAACCTTCATAGAGTGTATATCAATGACATCTTAGTAAAAATAAATAAAGATAAAGACAAATTCTGGAAAGCCATTTGGGAGTCATATGCATATAGATGATTGTTTTAAGTCTACAGAATGGTAGAAGAACCTACACAGAGAAAATTGTAATGTTAATCATATCAATCCTACAAATGAGGGATAGCAATGGTTTTACTAATTCACTTACCATCCAGAAGATTAAGACCAAAAAACTATATGAAAGACACCTTAAAAATATTGTTTAGCAGAACATGTCATTCTTTCTAGGTAAAAATCAATGGGCATAATAACTGAGTGAGCGCAGCATACAAAAAATAAACCTTTATTCAAATGGCAGACTTAAAGTAGGAAGGTTAAGAAAAACACGACATATACCAGAGTCAACTACTACTCTCTTCTCCACTCCTTCACAGCAGCTAACAAGTAATTAACAATTCACCAGCTCAGGAGGTAATGTTTATCAAATCCTCTTCAGGTAATACCTTTAAAACTAGATGTCTTTATCCCATTACATTAGTTATTTCACAACTAGAAAGGGCAGATGGCTTCTTCCAAAATTGAATGACACACTTCTTAGCAATGTCAGTGATGGGATTCACTTTGTTTAGGAGGGAAAAAACAAACTATCCAGACTTTAAAAATCCATGTGCCCAGAAAATCAATCCCACTTAAAATCCTGAAGATATATGGATTTAGATAATTCAGTAGATTCCACTTAAAAATAGTCTTCATTTTCATGATATAGATATTAATTAGAACATGGCATATTTTCAAGATAAACAGAAACACATTTGAAAACTGTTCCTACCCTCCCCCGCCCAAACCCCAATAAGCATCTATCAGCATATTCTAGAAAGCAAAGCTTCTCCATGCAAATGTCCACCAGAAACAACCACCACCACCTGTTCCTAAAATAGCTAGTGACAAACAGAAGGGCAGCGAGCAGCTGGAGAGGCGACTAGCACCCTTTGCAGGGAGGGCTCTACAACTACTGGCATGCAGCGACCATCAAGCAGTTGACGGAATCATAGGCAGAGGCTACCTTAAAGGGACTGAATGCTCCAAGCAAAAAGCCCAATTCCTAGCTCATCTCAGTAAGAGCTTTCTCAGTGAGAAAGAATTCTACCACATAAAGGACTAAGGTTTGTAACAAAGAAAACTCTCAGGAACAAACAGCAATTACAAAGGCTAAGTTCTTCCACAAATGAAAAATCTAGGTACACTTTAGAGATAATTAAATATGCTCCCTATTTACATTGAAAAAAAATAAAAGAAGTACTTTTACTTAGTTTGTTCCATTACATAATCTTTAACATACTAATCAGATGGTAAGAATATTGTCCTCTACTTAGAACTCAAAAACAGGGCACTTCCAAATGGGGTTATTTTACCCTACACTGAAGAGAGAGCTTTGGCTCTAATTATATATAGATAGATAGATTAGCAGGTATACAGATTATTTCCAATTTGTAAAATCCTACAGTTTGGCTCAGGGTAATGACTCATTTGTCTAATTAGAGAACTTATTATGCATTCTTCTGTTTTCATTGTTTTTGCTTTTTCTTTCTTAGAATATCAGTATTATCATTTAAAAAATTGGGTCTATCTCCAACAAAAGTTAAAGACAATGAAGGTACTCTGGAAATAAGCAGAAATTTTAATCAAATAGGTCGCTGGCATAATTAAACATCTTAGAACAGTTAAAGATAAAATATTTAGTAAGTCAAAAGAAGATCATCTTAAAATGTTCCTCCCATAAAGAACAGATATTATAAAGAAGAACATTAGAGATCCAGCTTAATCAAGGATATTCATGGAAGTAAAGTACATTACATCATCTATTTCATCAATGATAATGTTTTAGAACATACTAGACATACAGAGCCCTTATACTGTATATTTTCCAGGACAATTTTAAAATCAAATGCTTTGTATCCATAAATACATTCATACTTGTCAAACTTTATAAACCTAATTTTGGTTGAGATATGATGATAAAGTTATATTAAGTCAAAATAGTGCAGCTTTATTCAAACCTAACTTCAATGTTATAATTGTGGTTAACAGAAATCCACAGTATGTACAGCCTTTTACTTGTCTGGGTTGGTCCAGAGAAACATTTTTGGCATTGTTCATTAAATTTTTTTTGAAAATTCATATTTGTTTTCTATTACTAAAAAATGGGGAGAGGCAGCAAGTTTAAAAGCAAAAAGGAAAAGAGAATACCTTTTCAGTTAAAAGTTATTGGATTATTTAATAGACTAGAGAGAAATCAGCAAACTATGGCCAAAAGGTCAAATACAAGGCCATTGCCTGTTCCCGTCAACAGTTCTGTTGGAACACAGCCACGCCCATTTGTTTATTTATTATCTATAGCTGTTTTCATTCGAGTGGCAGAGTTAAGTAGTTGCAAAGATTGAATGACCACAGTGTAAAATGTTCACTGTCTGGCCCTTTACAGAAAAAAAAATTTGAGGGTCCCTGCTCTAGGCCTTTTAAGATATAACAGAAAATTTCTACATTAGTGCTAAGTTAAATAACATTTGTTTTGCCTAATTTATTATTTAACATGCACTGTTCAAGTGTTATCAGCGTCCTATTAAGTTAAGGTTTAGCTTTAGTTGCTGTGTTCACTGAGGTTTCCCATGTACAAACCACTATACAGGGAAGAAGCTGTGAAGGTTAGCTTTAGATTAGCAAAGACGATATTCCCATCAGATTTGCTTGTTGCCTATTTTTCTTATATTGCTGTAAAAATTACCATTTCGGAGTCACTGTGAGAGGCCTGACCCAGGCTGGGTACAGACCCTAGCTCAGAGTGAGAAGCTTGGTCAAGGGAGAGAAGGGGCTCAATAATGTCATCGTAATCATCTTCCTCTGTATCCCCCTCCCCTTCAGCAAAAGTACCTCTAGTCAAGAAATCGGAGCGCGTCCGCGCCATTCGAGCTTTCTTTTTATGGGCCGGTCTGGCAACCTGCTTGACCAAATGATAAAACAAATAACACAACAATGTTTTGTCTTGGTATTTTTGGAGATGATGCCAATGGAAAACATTAGAGAGCTGATGAATTTCTTGAAACATCCCTCCACCCCACAGTGCTTTTTCCACTATATAACCAAAAACAATCCATATACATTACTCTAGACAATGGATAAGAATGGAAGCTAAATCTACACTGGTTTTCTCTGTAGCCAAGCAAGTCATCCTCCACTGCCATAAGTCACCAAAGTCACTTGCACAAATTGCTTTCTTTTCCTAGCAACGTCTTTTTTGTAAATATAATCTGGGTTTTTACACACCATTCCCCGCTGAAGTATGCCTCCCCAAGTATAACAAACTTAACTCGTGGTCTCTTTCCCTATAAACATTTGGGAGTAAATGGTAGATGAGGTGCTCTACCTACAAGAATAATTTTTTTCCAAAATAGCTTGCATCTATTTTGATGAATAGAAGATAGATAAACAAAATTCAATACTTACCTCTCCTTGGCCCGGCCCAGTTAATTTCATAGGTTTCCAAGCTGGTTCATCTCGTTTGTAGAGGTGAGGATTTCCAATGTTCAAGGCTTCCTTATTGACACTTAGGATAAAACAACAGGATTACATTTCAATTCCTAACAGATATCCTATGGCATCAGTTTTAAAGTAGAGCAATGAAATACAGTTTAAAAAGCCAGGTCAAAAAATGCTAGCAAATTCCATAAATATTTCCAGACCTTATTCAATTACCAAAACAATAAGTCAAATTTTTTCTGCTTACTCAACTGATACTATTATCAAGAATTTACATGTCTGATTGAAGTACTAGAGGCCCTGACCTGATAATCACTGGGTATATTCCACTATGATGACACATTTAAGAATAGTAGCAGAAATTGTTTCAGAAATGAAATGGATTTAATGATAAGAAAGGTAAGACTATAAATCCCCAAATCTTCAAAATTAGTCTTCAAGGGGCCTTTTACTTTAATCATTATAAAATACCTGATAAGTAGCTATCCAGTGATGAGGATCTCATTGTTTTGTTTTATACTGAATTGGTTCCTATGCTTACCAAATTTTCTTTCTGAAATCTCTGTAGCATTTATTTATTGTTTTAGTTTCAAAACCTGAGGTTGTACAGAATAAAATCAACACCAAGATAAGAAATTGTTATCAAGCTAAAAGAAGTATGCCCCAAATGATACAGATGGTACAGTGTTAGATTGTGATAATTTAATTGTGCCTGAATAACCTCATGATATATGACTGCTTTATCGTTAAGTTCTGTGTAGAAATGGGTGTCAGTGTCTGACAAAAATCTGAACAGAATCCACACTTTCATGACCTCAATTACCTCTATTAACTCAGTACCACGAATCTTAAGACTGAACAGCACAGTACCAATCTGTCCTTGGCAGAACTGTCAGCTCACTGAGAATCCTCTCATCTTCCAGCACAGTGCTAGGTCTAATGTAGACACTGACTTATAATACGAGTTGACAGACTAATTGCTCTTTTATTCAAAATTTTTCAATTTAATTTTTATAAGTGAAGGCTGAAGAGCCATTAGAGGTTATCTTATGTCCCTAAACAAACCTAAATCCATAAAAACAAATCTTTCTTAGCTAAAGCCTTCTCAGAGATTTCCTTTTTTTTTTTTTTTAACCAGTATATGATCAGACCTAACAATCCTAAGTTGTCCTAAAAGATTCCCCTTTGGCTATTAAAATCTCTCTTGCCACAGTTGAGCCTATTGGCCTCTGATTTGTTCTCCAAAGAGAGAAACAATTAACAAGACCTTTGATAGCACTCAACCATCCTAACAAATTTTTTAACTCTCGGCATTTTCTTTAGATTTCTCTTTTAATGTCCTCCCTCATTAACCAAATAAAGACCACTGCGTACTTATCACCACTATGGCACTGACAGAACACTGATGTTACCTGCCAATCATAAGACCCAGTGCTGACTCCTAATCATGAAACTCAAGTTCTAGTCACAGTTTTTCTCTAAACATGTGACCTTGAACAAGTCACTTCCCCTTTTTGGGCCCCTGCCAATCATCCATAATATGTGGGAATGGACTAGATAATTTAGAAATACCAACATTTATGATTCTATAAAATGCTAAAGTTTCTAAGTATTACTGATAGAATAAGAGAAAATTTGTAGGATAATTTTACTTAAGATTACACATAAATAAGCTACTATATAATTTTGAAGACAAGTAGAGCTTGAGGAGATAAAGCAAGCTAGATCAAACAGACCTCAGATTATCTTGGAAAAATTATAAAAGGAGTAATTCACAAGGTTTGTTTTTAAAATCTACAAGCCTTCTACAAAACAGATTTATGGATCCAACCACACACACATCACATATCACCAAGTTAATCAGAATGACAGGAAACTATGTTTTTGACACTCTTTGATGGGTTTATATGCTACAGAGTCACTGAACTTCTGGACAATCTCTAGGTTAATGGGCAGGAATAGGATCAAGCTGCCATTTAGTCAAACTGCATTTTATACTGCACAGAAATTCTTAGTGGAAAAATAAAATATAAATGATCTTTTCCTCATATTTTCAAAGAGTTTCTATAAAATGTATGCAATTTTCAAGACTGAAAGATTTAAAAGCTCAGGCAATGATAAGAAAGAAAAAGTTATTTTCATAGTTCAGGTGAAACAATGTTTTTAGCCATTTATCATTTAAATAGTGATATTCTCCCACAGGAACTGAAAACTACTGTATGCAAAGACTTGATATAAATATCTTAAATTTCATCAAACTTGTTTTTATGTACAAATTAAAACATGTTTTTCTCATGGCTAATAAAGAAAACTTAAAATATAAAGAACTTTCAATTAGATGAGGCATCCACAGTAGTTATATTCTTAGAAACTGAAGTAGAGCGGGTAAGGGGAAAAGGGCAGATGTTGTTCAATGAGTACTGAGAGTTTGTCTTGCAGGATGAAAAAGTTCTAGAGATCCACTGCAAAACTCGTTAACACTACTGTACTGTCCATGTAAAAATGGTTATTAAGATTGAAAAGTTTATGCTATGTGCTTTCCACCACATATGAAAGTATAAATAACTTCAGTAAGGTATAAAGGTCAACAACTGTGACAAGGCACATTAACTTTAAAGCCTAACATTAATAAGCTAGGACTGCTACACCTAACAGCTCCAGAGCAACAAGTATTTGCTGATTGCCTACTATGTTTATAGGCACTATATTGCCTTTCACAAAAGGCTTTTCACTTAATGGGGAAGAACCAAAAACTCTATTTGTACTTAGCCAAAGATTCCTAGGGTAAAATTATATCCAATTTCATGTGGCTAATGGAGTCAATGAGCAGTAAATTTTTTTACACAGAGAAAATGGTTGATTTAAGTAGCACCCATATAAATGTTGAGGCACATATAGACACCTTAATAAAATTCTCCAAAGTTTCCCATTCATAGATGAAAATAAATAAAATTTCACTTACAGGGAAATATTCATATTGTCCTTTGGCATGAAGAAAATGGCCCCAGTAGTACCATCTCTGGAAGGGTCATCAGATTTGTGACTATAAGACTGAGATGGCCTAAGCTGTTCTCTTTTTGAAATGCGATTATTACTGAACTTACAGGCTACATTCAGTTGGGTGGCTGTTGTGTCTGTCACAGATAATTCCTTGATAGAACTAGGCTGGCATGAGCCTCCTCTTTTTTCAAAGAACAGAGTGACAGGTTGGTCCTTCAGGGGTAAGTGAGCAGAGGGACTGTCCTCTGCAGCAAACGCTGTACCTTTCACAGCTGATGGAGTCCCTTGTACCCTGGGCTCTTCCCTATGCGAGGAGTTCAGGATGAGCAGAGAGGATGGCCTTTCTCCTCTTCGCTTTGGCTGGCGCAGAGAGGACTCCCCGGGTCTGGGCTTTTCCATCGTCTTGAAGGCTTTTCGCTCCTTCTCTAGAATATCTGTTTGCTGGCGTATCTGCTCCATCAGCTCTTTTTCATTCTGCTGCTGCAACTGCTTCTGCCTTTCCTCCTTCTCAGTGTTCAGCTTTTCTAACTTTTTAAACAGGCTGTTAGAAGACTCTGTATTCAAAGAAGCAATAAGCTGATTTTCTCCTGAGAGGTGGTACTTCCTTGCTTCCCGGCTGATACCCAAAGTAAGAGCTGAATGTGTCTGCTCACTTTCCAACAGTTTGTTTCTCTGTATACTTGTGTCTAGTTGGGAACTTATTTTCAGTGGGTCTTGCTGGGGAATATAAAAAAATGTAGGCAGACTATTTGAAATGAAGGAGTCTCTCAGGTGGGGCTTACAAGAAATAGATTCAGAATTACAAACCAGTTTTTCCTTCATAGTCCCATTCTTCAAATGCACTGAGCCAGAGGATGTCCCCTTTTGAATTACTGTGTGACTATTACTTTTGCTTGAGACACCAAGGGCATTGTCCTGTGATTCAAATTTTGGACTGCTAGATATCTTGGGTGATAGAAACTGCAAGTCTCCTTCATCTAAAGCTATAGACTCTTGTTTGTTCTTCTGACTTTCCTCGCAGCTCAGAAGTTCCAAACTTCCTTGAGAGCTTTCACTATCAGGTGTACCTTCCAGAGACTGAAGGCCCTCAGGAATCAGTTCTGTAGACCATCTGCGCTCCTCTGAAGGAGACGTGCTACCAAGAGAACGGACTTTCAGCAACTCTAAACTAAATATAGCTTGCTCTAGTTCTCTCATTCTCCGACTTTCTCTTTTGGCCCGACCTACTCTTTTCTGGTGGAGATCCTCCAAGGACTTGGGTCTCTCTCTCACAATCACGTCTTCCTGCAAGTCCACACCACTATGGCTTCTGGCTCTCTCCTGTCGCTTATCTGGGGACTCCTTCAAGAAGTCCATTGAACTTTCATGGCAAATTTGATTACTCTCTATCACATATTTACATTCCTCTACGGCTTTTACTCTGTTGTCAAAGGAACAATCCTCCCATTCTGAAGGGTCTGAGCCCTGAATTTCCAGAGCTCCAAAAGGCTCAATATTTGTCAATCCAAGTTCTAGTTTTGTTTCTCTTAGTCTTTGTTCTTTTAAGGCTTTAAACCTATATAAAAACATTTTAAAAAATGAGTGAGAGATATCTCTTGGTTATCACTGTGGAAAATATATTCAGAGAACTTAAGAAAAAAATGGAAAGTCTCCAAAATTTTCTTTTTATAATACCCAAGTCTTTCTTAAACTAACTTAAATGCGCATTTCCTCAGTCTATTTCCATGAGTGAGATAGTTTATTAAGTGTACTATTCCTAACTGGGCATTCTAGTCAAAATATAAATTAACTCAAAAGTAAAGCTCTCATTGTAATAATTTCCTTATTTTAAGGTAAACTTTAAAAATGGAATTAAAGTTTCTGAATGTAAAAACAGCCGAATATTGCAAAATTTTAAAGACCAGAACCAATAAAAATTAACTCTTAGCAGTTATAAAAACAGACCATGTAGATTTTCAATCCAATTTAACTCAATAAACACTTAACTTCTCTTATATGCCACACAAAGTAGGTTAAAATTGCTAAGAGTATCACACTTTAGTAGAGAAGACAAATGCACATACCCAATTCTAATACAAGTTAGGCAAATGTTGGAGCAAAGGTATCAACAAATTACTTGGGAAGAAAGGAGTAATTTTTATAGCAACAAAAATTACCTTTGTCTTGCTTTGAATCCTCTACATACTGACTGCAAAAGGATAATTCTGTTCCTTTGCTCTTGATACCTCTTACTTTCCCTGCAGCCTTTCCATCTGGCCTGTATGCAAACAGCAGCCGTGTGTCTCCGCCTGCAGCGTTCCCTCCATCTCTGCTGGATGATGGTGGCCGCGGTCCGGAGCTCCAAATACCGCTGCCTCTCTAAGTGAGCACGCCAGGAAGCTTGGAGAAGAGTGGCTGCACGGACCATAAGTAAAGCATCCTTCTGCACAGCTGCATCTCTGACTTGCTTCTGATTTAGATAATTCCTCCAGAATCGCTGTGGAGAAGACGAAACAACAGAAATTGCTGTCCTATTTGATATAACATTTTCACAGAAATAGGAAAAAAAGAATAAATTTCTTATGTCACAAGCAGAGCTTAAGTGTCTAAACAGCTGCTAAGTTGTAGGTGATTAAGAAAAAGTTTTCTTTTCAGATATGCTTGGCTAAAACAATTTTTAGATAATATAACCTCAATGAATTTAAGTATAGAACTTAAAATAATTTTATATTTTTTGTTGCTCTCATGCCCTACAAATTAATTTTAACATTATATTATCATGATATAATTTGGTGATATTATTGGGTTTAAGGTCAACATGCACACATTTCAAAGATTAAGATACTAAAGATTTTCTTGTAAAAACAGAAAAAGTCCTATGGAGGACAGCAATCATATAAATCAATGAAGGAGAAAATAAAACACATAAATGTGAAATAAGGTACCTATTATCCCAGATGAGTACATAAGAACAACAACATGCCTCTCAAATATCACTTAGAAAACTATGAAATAAAAAAACTACATCAACAAAATTTAAGGCACATAACTCCTAATTATACCTCATAAAACATTATTACTATAAATACAATTTAATTTAAATTCAACTCCATCAATATATAGTAATAGTCTATTATAAGCCAGGTAATCTGTTGGGCACTTTTTGAACATTTAAAAAATGAGAAGGACATATTCTCATCACTGAAGTAGTTTACATTCTTATTTAAATTTTTCACAGTAAAATAGTTCTGGTTACTAAAACAAAGGCCAAATAAACTAGCGAATTTCATGCAAGGAATTCTTTGCTTCCCACCTGGATAATAATGGATGCCTGTCTCAGATGGAGGAAATGCTGCCTGCACAGCAAGACCCTGAACCACTGCTGCAAAGATATGATTCTACGGAGCACCTCTTGGTGAAGAAGATCTTGTAGGTGCTGTCGTTCCTGCTCCTTTAGGAACACCTACCAGAAGAAAGAAAGATGAGTAATAAGAAATGAGAAATTTTATGAATCATCCTTTCTGTGGTTAAGTTTTAGAGAAGAACAATACAGTGGCAGATGGGTCAAAGAAGGACTAACAAATATTTCTGTCAGTTTATCCAAAGCAGTCATTCTCAAATTGGAAAGGAGCCATTAGAAATCCGAAGAGAAAATAGAAAGCTGAAGATGAATACAAAAACCCCAATGCCAGAGACTGTCATACATTATTCCTCTGGGAAATCCACTGCCATCATGAGCCAACTTACTACTGATAATGTGTAGTATTTTTCAAGGACATTGCAATGGGGGAAAAAAGGCTGAAGTTTGAGCATGACAGTAAACCAAATAGAATAGGCTTTTTGAAACCCAGTATTCATCAAAGGCTTTTTGCTGTACAAAGCTATTAATGAGTTTGCTTATTTATTCCTTCATTCCCTTAATAAATCTTTAGGGATGCAGGGGATACAAAGATAACTTAACAGAGTCCTCTTAGAAATGGGATTTGCAATTCACTCTTAAGAACAGGCAGATATGAAAAACTGTATATATTTAAGGTATACGATGTGATGTTTTGATGTACACCTACATGGTGAAATGATTACCACTATCCATCACCTCCCATTTTTCTCAAAAAATATTTTTAATTAAAAAAAAAAAGCAGATAGATTTTGATACCCAAAGAGAAAAACAGTACGCTAATAAGGGCAAGAGCAGAGGACTCCACCTGAGCAGAACAAGCAGTTGAAAATAATACTAAAGGCATGTATAGGGGACACTAAAACAATTATTCTTCATAAAGAAGATATGAGGTAATGTGAACTTACAGTATGGAGGCTCTTGAAGAAGACAAAGATGTTTGAATGTAATGAGCAGGAGTTGACATAAAGAGAAAGTATATTAAGGTGATTTTGATATATTATCAGTAGAGTTAAATGAAAGGACAAATAGACTGGAATCAGGTAAGGGATCTGTTTACTAGAAGAGAAATATAAGTGAGGGCTAAAGAAAGGAACTAAAATGGAAGCAGTAGGAATGAAGATAAAGGGTGAGATGTGAGAATCATTTGTAAGGAAAAAAAAGAAACACAACCTTGTAAAACAATTAAAGTGAAGGGTAAGCCAAATATGATTATGGTGTCTAGCCTAAGAAACTACAAGGATGGCAGAGAAAGAAAAAGAGTTTATAAATTAAGGACAGCAGTGGAATCTGGTACGTTCACTTTAGGCAAATTGAGTTGGGGATCACAACAGAATACCTAGGGAGAGATGGTTTTTACTTGGAGAAAATTATAAATAGAACTAAAGCTATTGATTAATACTAACTATATTATTAAGTAAAAGTATTTATACCTATTCAATTTACTTATGATAATCTGGTACACTACCTTTTTTATAAACATTGTCATAGGCAAAGATTACTGTTATTATTTAAATACAAAAATGTACCCAATTTTGACAAGACTGTATATATTATATTTACCATGGATTTTCCAACTTGATAATTATCTGGATTAAGATTTATTTTCCTGAAGAAATCCTGAATGTTAAATTTGGATGGAATAATATTTCGGGGAAGAAGTACATGGAAGTGGCTCACAAAATCCTAAAAAAGGAAAAGAAAAAGTTGTAAAATCAGAAGAGAACTGCATGTAAACACAATCCTGAACTAGCTAATTGTTCTTTTATTGATTCCTTTCTCATCTTTTAAAAAGAATGAAACCAATAAATTATTTCTTAATTTAAAATATTAAAAAAGGTTAATTTATAAAATGGGGAGGAGGAGGTAGTTCAACATATTGTTATCACAGAGAATGGAAGAAGAAAAGGGGCAGAAACTAATTATTCCTTTTGAAAAAACTGTATTAAAGACCAAATAAAAAGTTATTTAACAAGAATCTCAAGTTTTTAGCAGAAAAATAAGCAAAGGTGTCAGCTATAATAGTGTGTAAATGAGAATGAAGCATGCCCTTCCAGAAACACCAAAGACCTGCTTAGCTACTGAAAAGCTTCAATATAATTTCTACACTAAGAGCAGCAGTAGCTGATGAAAATAGAAGTGAACCTTGGTGGCACATTCCTATGAAAGAAAATCCTGCTGAAAAAATGGTAGGGAAGACCAAATGGAATTCTTTGTTGTGAACTAGATAGTTCTAAATTTAAATACTTCAATTACTAAGGTAATCAGTGTAAAGAACTGCTATGTTATGAATAAACTTAGTATCAACAAACATTAGATCAACAGGAATATCCAAGTACTGGAATCTATTACAACACAAGCTTAATGATGAGATAGCTACCATTCAATGGAAGTGAGTAATCTATATTGCTCTTCAATTCTGTAAACAAAAGATGGAATGACAAGGAAGAATTAACAGAAATAAACAAGTGAGCCCCAAATAAAAAAGAAGCAGACATAGAAATAATTTACTTGATGTCATATATGTTTAAATATCACTGTAAAATCATTACCTGGAAAGAATATTTACAACTGTATCCTGATTGGCGAATTCGAACTGTCTCCAGCATCCCAGTGTACCGAAGCTGTCTAAGTACCAAGGAATCATTGAACCTTAATGGTAGCTAAAACAAAGCACATGAAAAGAGACTGATTAACCCAGAAGAGTAGAACTCTGAATTAATACTTGCCTTTAAGTATGGTTAATTTTTTAGTATCTGGGGATTGACTGGAAGTTGTCAACTGGTTAAGATATAGCCCCAACTGGTAACTTTAGAAAAGCACTAACTACCAGACACTAGGGAAAAAGAACAACCAGGCCTCTAGGCTCCTAGGTACAGTTCTTAGAGGGAAAGGACTTTCAAAGCTCAAAAAGAATACAGTTGCCCACAGAGAAGACCACAGTATAATCACTATATAATCTGTAACAATAAAGAATCCACTCTAAAACTACTAGATCTAATATCTGAATACAGCAAAGTTGCAGGATACAAAATTAATAAGCAGAAATCTGTTGCATTCCTATATACTAACAATGAACTAGCAGAAAGAGAAATGAGGAAAACAATTCCATTCACAGTTGCATCAAAAAGAATAAAATACCTAGGAATAAACCTAACCAAGGAAGTGAAAGACCTATATTCTGAAAACTACAAGACACTCATGAGAGAAATTGAAGAAGATACCAATAAATGGAAACACATCCCATGCTCATGGATAGGAAGAATTAATACTACCAAAATGGCCATCCATCCTTCCTGAAGCTATCTACAGATTTAATGCAATTCCTATCAAAATACCAACAGCATTCTTCAATGAACTAGAGCAAATCATTCTAAAATTCATATGGAACCAGAAAAGACCCCAAAAAGCCAAAGCAATCCTGAGAAGGAAGAATAAAGCTGGGGGGATTATGCTCCCCAACTTTAAGCTCTACTATAAAGCCACAGTAACCAAGACAATTTGGTACTGGCACAAGAACAGACCCATACATCAATGGAACAGACTAGAGAGCCCTGATATAAACCCAACCATATATGGTCAATTAATATACAATAAAGGAGCCATGGACATACAATGGGAAAATGACAGCCTCTTCAACAGCTGGTATTGGCAAAACTGGACAGCTACATGCAAGAATGAAACTGGATTATTGTTTAACCTCAAAGTGGATCAAAGACCTGAATGTAAGTCATGAAACCATAAAACTCTTAGAAAAAAACATAAACAAACATCTCCCGAATATAAGCATGAGCAACGTCTTCCTGAATGCATCTCCTCAAGCAAGGGAAACAAAAATGAACAAATGGGACTACATCAAACTAAAAATCTTCTGTACAGGAAAGGACACCACCAACAGAACAAAAAGGCATCCTACAGTATGGGAGAGTATATTTGTAAATGACATATCCAACAAGGGATTAACATCCAAAATATATAAAGAACTCACATGCCTCAACACCCAAAAAGCAAATAACCCAATTAAAAAATGGGCAGAAAATATGAAGAGACAATTCTCCAATGGCCAGCATACACATGAAAAGATGCTACATATCACTAATCATCACAGAAATGCAAATTAAAATCACAATGAGATATCACTTCACACCAGGAAGGATCGCCAGCATTAAAAAGATTAAGAACAAATGCTGGCAAGGATGTGGAGAAAGGGGAACCCTCCTACACTGCTGGTGGGAATGTAAGTTAGTTCAACCATTGTGGAAATCAATAAGGAGGTTCCTCAAAAAACTAAAAATAGAAATACCATTTGACCTGGGAATCCCACTCCTGGGAGTTTACCCAAAGAATATAACTTCTCAGATTCAAAAAGACATATGCACCCCTATGTGTATCACAGCACTTTTTACAATAGCCAAGATATGGAAGCAACCTAAGTGTCCATCAGTAGATGAATGATAAAGAAGATGTGGTACATATACACAATGGAATACTATTCAGCCATAAGAAACAAACAAATCCTGCCATTTGCAACAACATAGATGGAGCTGGAGGATATTATGCTCAGTGAAATAAGCCAGGTGGAGAAAGACAAGTATCAAATGATTTCCCTCATTTGTGGAGTGTAACAACAAAGCAAAATTGAAGGAACAAAATGGCAGCAGACTCACAGATTCCAAGAAGGGACTAGTGGTTACCAAAGGGGAGAGGTGTGGTAGGGTGGGTGGGGAAGGGGACAGAAGGGGATTGAGGGGTATTATGTTTAGTACACATGGTGTGGGCGATCATGGGCAGAACAGGTGTAGCACAGAGAAGGCAAACAGTGAATCTGTGGTATCTTACTACAATGATGGACAGTGACTGCATTGGGGTATGGGTGGGGACTTGATAATATAGGTAAATGTAGTAACCACATTGTTTTTTCATGTGAAACCTTCATAAGAGTATATATCAATCATACCTTAATAAAAAATTTTTTTAAATCTTTAACAAGATTAACTTACATATAGTCAAGAGTGTGTTTTTTTTTGTTTAGATTTTACCTATAATCTGACTCAGAAAACACCTATCCCATATTACCAGTTGCCTTGGGAGCTGACAGATTCTTCTTACTGCAACTAGAAAATATTAGGAGTAGTTTATTTCCAGAGTCAGAAAAAGATGGTGGTATGAAAATGAGGCAGAAACCACCTGCAAAAGCACATTAAACACAAAAATACAGTAAATATGACTAATCTTGAGAGAGCGACCCAAAGACTTCAGAAAAGACTGACTACATCTGGGGAAAAGAGAAGACCTCACAGAAAAGGGTAAAATAGCAGAGGCAAGTTCCAGCAGGACTCAAGCCCTACCTCAACCCCAGTCAACAGGCGGGAGAAAGAGAAACAGAGAGGGGAGGGAGGAGAAGCCCAGGACTGCTGAACACACAGCGCTGGAGATCAGCTCTGGGAACAGGAACCCACATTATATGGTGCTCCGGAGCTTAGTGGGGTTAGAATGCAAAGACTGGTGGAATACTGGGAGAGACTGAGATTCTAGTCACTTGTGGAGAACAAGTACACACAAACGGTCTCCTGGAACAAAAGAAAGGTGGGAACTTTGAAAGACTTCCCAGCAGCGAGAGGGGCGCTAAAGGGACAAAGATTACACAGACCTCGTTGCTCAGGAAAAAGGGCAGGTGGACAAAAACGTCCCCGCACACATAGCCCAGAAGGTTGGGAACTCACAGGGGCTTCAGATGCTCCATCCCCCTGGCTGGAAACACAACCCGAGGACCGAGGACCGAGGACCGGCACTGCAGCATACAGTCTGCTCCTTCTTCAGCCAGGAACACACTGGTCCTGCACATCTGCTGCCACTGCCAATGTGCCAAGCCAGCTGGAGAGTGGCCAAGCCTAAGCAGCTACAGGGCTGTAGCACAGAGCTTCCTCCCTGCATGCTCAGCCCACTAAATATGGCCCTGAAGGCTGGCAATACAGCCGGGAAAGCAAGAAAGAGCTCTTTCCTCCCGGCAGGCGACAGTTCTGCACAACTGCAACCCTGCCATTGCTACAGGTGCTCAGCAGTTCCAGAGAGTAGAGTTTTTGAGCATTAAAAGGTGCTGCCTACACAAAGCTCTTATACCCTAGCCATCATTAAAAAAGTGAAACACCAGAAGAATTTTGTTCAAACAACATTTCAGGAAAAGACACCAGAAAGAGGGCTAAGTGAAATTGAAAGTGTCAATCTTCTTGATAAAGATTTCAAAATAAAAGTCATAAAAAGGCTCATGGAGCTAGAGAAAAATATTCAAGATTTCAGGGAGAACTTCAAGAAAGAGACAGTAACTTTGAAAAATACACTGTCGAAAATGAAACATACAAAGGAGGGATGTAAAAGTAGATTAAATGAAGTAGAGGAGATGGTAAATGAAATAGAAATTACATAACAGGAAAACAAAGAAGCTGAGACACAGACAGAAAAAAGGATCTCTAGGAGTGAAAGAATGACAAGAAAAGCGTGTGAACAATCCAAATGGAACAAAATGCGCCAGACTGCATATACCTACAGAAAAGAACAGACCACATGAAACAGGGTAACTTATCAAAGCCGTAACTGAGCAGAACCAAGCCCTTTCCCAGTGCCAGCTCACTGGCGGGAGGAAGAGAAACAGAGTGGGGAGGGGTGGAGGCCTAGGACTGCTGAATACTGAAGACTTGGAGATCTGCTCTGGGAGCACAAACCTACATTACATAGTCCTGTGGGGATAAATGAGGTTGGAAAGCTAAGAGAAGCGGAATACCTGAAGAACCTGAGATTTCAGCCACTTGTGGAAAACAGGGATCCACAACCAGCTGCTCTGTAACAAAATAAAGGCAGACAGTCTGAGAGACTTCCTAATAGTGAAAGGGCTGCTAATGGGGCAAAGACTGAACAAAGATTACTGTTCAAGAAAAAGGACAGGTGGAGAAAATTGTCCAGACACTATCTGCCCAGCAGATACTCAGGCACTCCATCCACCTGGCTGGCTATGCAGCTCCAAGACCCCCACTGTGATACACAGACAGCTGCACATTCCTCCAAGCAAGGCCCCACTGGCTCACAAACCAGCAGCCCCTGCCCCAGCATCAGGCCAGCTGGAGGGAAGCCTCACCTACAGCACCTACAAACACAAAGCATAGAGGTTTACACCTGTGTGCTTGGTCCATGGGTTCTGGCAGTGGAGAAAGGCACAGCAGCTGGGAAGCAAGAAACCGTTCTTTCCTCCCCCCAGGCACCAACACCACTCCCCTGCGACTCCCAACGTCACTCCAGGGGCTGAGCAGCTCCAGAGAGTAGAGCTTCGGGGCACTAGAGGGTGCTACAAAAAAAAAATGAATCGCCAAAGGAAACTGGCTCAAACCCAAATCCCACAAACAACAGAAAAAGGTTCAAGTGAAACTGAACTCCTCAATGTTCCTGAAAGAGATTTCAAGACAAAACTCATAAACATGCTCATGCAGGTACAGAAAATTATTCAAGAACTCAGGGAAGAATTCCGGATGGAGAGGCAACCATTACAGAATACAGTATCACAAATGAAACATACAATTGAGGGACTAAAAAGCAGATTAGATGTAGTGGAGGAGACAGTAAATGGAATAGAAGTTAAAGAAGAGGAATACAAAGAAGCTGAGACACAGAGAGA